AACGCGGTTTGCGGGGCAGACATTTCAGATAAGTCCTAAAACGTACCGCGCGTCGTTTCCACACGCATTGCGATTTTTTTCGGGAGATAAAATCCAGCGCGGAGCAAGGCATTTCCTCTCTTTAAACGGAATGTTTATTCAATTTGATCTGGGAAAATTTTAAGCGAAAGATGAGGAAAGAAATTCAACAAAAATGTTTGAAAGGTGTTTCGTTTCAATAAATCGTTTAATTGATTTTGTTGACTGTGTAGGTGAGATTAAGGAATGACGAGAATACTTGTCAAATAGGGAGTAAATGTATTGTGATTAGAATTATGATGATACGACAATTTAAATGATACTATTCGAAGAAGCTAAAATATCAATACGATGTCATAGAGGAAAATATAAGGAAACAAAATTTAATTTCTTCCCCTTTTGGTGCTAAATTGTCAAGTCTAAGTTGTTTTGTTTAATTGTCAAAAGAATTGTTCCTGACCAAACAAATATTTGAAATATTCTACTATATTTCAAACTATTGAAATTTTACGCATTGCGATGTTAGTAATTTATATTTTTTTTTTTTTTTTAAGTGAATTATTTTATCCTTTTCAGTTTGCTGCAGTCTTAAAATATTTCGAAATGTCTTAAATTCACAAATGTTTTTTTTTAAATTCTAATTGGAATAGCAAAAGCTTATGACGTCCATATCTATCAAACAAATAGCATGTAACAATTTGAATATTTCCAGGAAAAGTTAAACAAATATTTTAAACACTTCGTATCAAAATAAATTCCAGCGAATTGCAGTTTTGCATGTTACAGTATCATTCATCAATTCACTCTGTACAAGTTTGTCAATCAAAAGTTTCTTTATTTTAATTTCATTGCAGCTTCAAAATATTCTAAAACGCCTAAAGATATTCTGAAATTTACGGATATTTTCCAGTTTTCGCTAAAAACTTTCATTTAAACGGTGTTTCTTTTTCACATAACGAGCATACTCGCCAAATGCAGTTAACAGTCGATGAATTTTCTTTTCTGCAAGGATGCAACGTTCGCATATTGAAGTTGCGCTTGACCGTAGTCTCGAGAGTAGAAGTTCCGAAGTTGAACATCAGTTTGTTCGTATAAACGAGGTTCTACCGTAATCATCTCCTCGATACCTTTGTTTCAAGTGTTAATTTATTCAAATACTCAAAAGCAATTCAAAGTTATTATTTGACCCTTCGTGCAACTTGCGCTGCAACAGTGCTTGGCAAGTGAAACAAATGAGGGAAACGAGGCCGCTCGCGCTCAGACGCGCACTGACGTTTAAAAATATGTGGATATACTTGCCATTTTTATGAAATCTGTGATACAAAATATGATATACAATGATATACATCGTTATTTCAATTCAATTATAAATGAATAATTCTGAATATTTGTACACTATATGCGTTTTATACGGTTTGACATTTTTAAATACTCTGTAAATGCATAAAAATTTATAGTCTAGTAAGAATTCAACGATACTTTGAAGATTCATTATTGAGGTCGTATAAAAAAATAAATAGTAATTTTAATTTTTTAAAGTGGATCGAGAAATATCCCATCATGTACGTGTATATTAATCTATTGAAAAAGTAGGATATTTGTTAACTCATTAATAATTGATTTTTATATTTACCTGGAAGAAAAGTATATTAAATTTTTAACAAGTGTAATAATTCGCCAGTAATTCATCAGGTATCTCGTCAATAATAATAAAAAATACGCAGTATATGTATAATCGTGTTTCCTGTCTCATTTTAATTATTATTGATGGGGTGCGTGATGAATTATTGAAGATTTGATATTTTCTTTCTCAGGCATTCAATCTTTTTAACAAGTTATCTATTTTTATTACTAATTATTTTCTTTTACTTGTCAATTACTGTTACTTTTAATCTATCTTTTAGTTTTGGTCATTTTGCTCAAAATAATCCCATTTTCATATACTTTACTTCCCTCTTGTATTTTACATATTATACCTCGTATTTTTTATTAAAAGAAAATCTCCGCGCAACTCGAAACACTGTTTTTCTTTTTGTTTCTTGGTTTGTGAAACCTCATGCCCCCCCAAAGAGTTAAGTAAGTGTCCACATATTTTTCAGCGCCAGTGTACTTCACCCCAACGTTATAAGGATCTTTCGCGTAAATTTCATCTTCATCTTGCCTGCCCCTTGGTTTCCGCTTTCAAAACGAAAAACACTCTCAGCGTCTTTAAACAAATTGTTAACCGTATATCACTCGGTAACAAAGGCTCGGACGGCGGCTGAGACCAACTTGCCGCGTCCGCGAAGCGCTGGAAATATTCAAGTCTCATATTTCCACGTTAATATCGCAAATTTTCTTAAAACGCTTTAAACAGCACGCGAGATAAACCGCGTTCGCGCGCGAGGCAACACGGCGAATTCATTTACGTTGCATAATTGCGGCACGCAGACAGTTGGCCCGTATGTCGGCCCCCGAACGGAATAACAATTTCCCTGCTGTAATTCGAAGCAGATCGTTGGCGTATAAAAAACGATTTATAACGACGATCGCGATCACGCCTGACAGCTGCGTCCGGTGTTCGCGTCTCTGACCGGATTACCCAGGTCGAGAACAAAACGAGAAAGAATCGACTTTTAATTGGCGTCTTTACGATTTTAAATGTGTGTTTGTGTGTGGAATTTGTATTATACAAATTCCATTTAAAATTCGTATTCTTAACTTCTCGCTGTTCTGTATCACCTGCGAAGACAATGGTTTTATTTCAGCGAATTGTTTGTTCAGATTGCACATTCAGACTGGACAGCTGGACCGTAACAAACGTTCTTTTTCATTAGTTTTTTTCACATTTTGCATGCACGTACTGACACACAAATATTCGATATTTCCCTTGCGTTGTACAGATGAATTATTCTACACGTACGAAATGTCCCGTGACAAAGTAGTTTTGAATTGTTATTCGTAACTCGTTTTACTGTCGCGAAGGATTTTTATCAATCTTGTTTGTATATCTAAGTATATTCTAAACGGTTGCTATATGTGTAATTATTAGAGGTTTCACACACATATATATATATAATTTTTGATAAATGAATATTCGCGTATTTTTGCTTGGTTATTCATTTATTTCTGTTTATGTGGGACATGTCACAATAATGATGTTTCTTTATGAGAAAGTAAAAAAAAGAGACTTCTTTTTGAGAAAATCGAATAAACACAATTTAAAAATAAGATTTTATACTTATCTCAAAAAGAGTTGAAACGTTTGTGCAAATCATTAAATGAATGAAAAAAGAAATGGAGACAAAATTATGGAGTAGTATTCGCAATAGCACGATCGAATCGCTTCCAGTGTAAATCCCGACGTGTCGGTTTTTATTAAATGCCAAATCAATGACATTTACACCTCGCGTGAAACAAGCTTTTCGCGCGCTGAAAAATAACAGAAATTAAAAACGCGTTGATTACGTGTCCGCGAGAGGTTCTCTCGTCAATTTGTCGCGAAATTACGCTCGGAACAACTCGGAGTATAATTCCTTGCGCCGGGCAAAGATTTTTATATCCTACGAGAATGGGAGCCGAGGACAAAGGCGTACGAATCACCGCGTGTAATTCCGCCAGGCGTTGGCACCGCCGGCCCTCTTCTAATCCACGTGACAGCGTTCCCGTTGGAACCATAATTCTCGTCTCTTTGTGAAAACGGTCGTAGGTTTTGTCACGTCACGCCACGCCACGCCACGCGACGCCACGCGGCTTATCTCCGTTCCCCCTTTCTTATTTCCCTCCCTATACTGCAGTTTTTCCCGAGAAAAACACGAGGAAAAGGAGGAAGGGGCGGTCAGAAGCGCGGCAAATCCGCGCGTTGGTGTCTTCGCTAAATCCTCGCGCTCGTGGCCCCGAATGGGGAAAGGGAACAAGGGTTTTGTCGAAAACAGGAATCTAATTGCTGGATCAAGGGATTTGCCAGCGGCACATTCTTAACGACGCTGGTCTTTTCAAGAGGAGAAAGATCGAGCGTCGATTTCCTGAGCCCTTTGATCCCCTTCTTTCGATAGAATTGCTTCTCTGTCCGATATATATTTTTTAAATTCTCTGGCGGAGAATAAACATTATACAATTTACAATGCTGCAGAGTTGATTACGAGTGAAAATTTGAAAAAAAAAAGAGTCTGAAATAAGTAATTATAAAAACAGTAAATCTGAAAATTTAAAAATGAGTGATGATAAAGAGGAGCTAAAATAAATAATAACAGCGACTTTTGATTTTGATTTCGGGAGATCAAGTAATTATCTAATTGCAAGTGAAAGGTAAATAAAAGTGTAGAATAGAAGTCCTTTTGTTCGGATGGACTTGCATTTTTGCTAGATAGTTTTGACACGAGGCGAAGAATAATTAATTGATGGTAGCGTTTTGATTATAAACAAAGTGAATGGAATTGAAGTGATGAAAGTAACTGCACTGACAGAGCTTTTTGATTCCGCTGTTCGAATGACATTGCATTTCTGTTACATATTTCCGACGTGAGATGAAAGCTAAGTAATTGGCAATGTCGTGTATATTCAGTTATAATGTAATAATTTAGAAAAATAATAAATTTGTACAATATCTATTATGTTATATATAAATATAAAAAATACAAGAAAAAGTAATTAAGAATTAAAACAATGCGAATGAAACGAACGAAATATATTTTCATTTTTCAATTTTTCATGGGAATCGATCGTCAAGACATTCAGATATCTGAGACTTGTGTATGTACGTCATGTAAACCGACGAACGATAGCTAACTTGATTATCGTGGTCATTCAGAATTGGAGTTGGCTTTGTCGGTCATAGTTAGGAAAAGTTTGCGAAAAATTTCGACGCTCTCAGCTCTGGGAAATCGAAACTGCGCGCACACCGTACGTAAGATGATTTGTTGGGCACTTCGACGGCTGAGAGGCTAATTTCTCCTCCCTTCGTCTCTCGCCCATCTTCGAAACTCGATAAATCTTACTTATAGAAACTCTCGAGAATGTGAAATGCTCGTGGAAACCCGATCTTCAACTCCGTTCTTTCTGCTTTCTGTTTCAGAACCTGAAGAACCAGATCATGACGACGAACGTTTGGGTGGAACAAGTGAGTACAACGACGCTTTCTGCCAGTACACTCCTAATCATAATTTAGACGATTGAACGTTATTAAACGTCAATTCTTTTTTCATTCCTATGAATATCATTAGCAAGCGGATTTTTATGTATTTGTAAAAATGCAACGTAAATCAAAAGTAGAATATTTATGGCATAATGTTCAATAGCAGAGACGAATTTTAGTCTAGATTTCTTTAAATGTAATATTATGTAAAGATCCGCAGTATGATTATTAGACGAAATAGATGATTTCACGAGCACGTAATAATAAAGTTTCGTGCTTTTAAATAATATTTATTAGATTCGTTGCGTCGATTCAAAGCTTAAAGTTTGCCGAATGCCAACGTGATCGTTGTCTTGTCGACTGTTTTATTACAAAAACGTGTATTATACGTTGAAACAAAATTGTTTTAACGAAACTTGAAATTCGTCGGCAAATGTTGAGCATCCATACATATCCAGTCATCGTCTTGCTTTCTTGGTTCTTGTTTTAGTTCTTCTATCACATGTACATGTCAAATCTTAATCAATTTTAATACTGCATTTATTATTCGCTCGTCTCAATATTTTATTTTTGCCGATACAAAAGATATATATCAATACAAGGTTATTTAGTTTCAAACGATATTGTTTAGTTTATCATTTTTTCCCCCCGTTAAATTATCTTTTCTCAAGTTTCCAGAAAGCCATCGTCGTTTTTTTGAATAGTAGTAACATATTTTTTCTTTCGTACTGTCGCAGGCGGGAACAAATGCATATCAAACGCGCATCAATTGAAGATATTTGTCTTTCTTTTTCTAAATGTTTCTTTCACAGGGAACTTTCAATGTGTTCCTGATTATCTTCAAAGTATTTTCAGACACGATACATAAAAGATGAGGTTACGCGCTGGATCATAGCTAGAGGAATGACAGTGCATGCATATGGAATTTTTCCTTACATGCTTTCTGGTGTAACGAGATCCATCCTCATTGTAGCTATACCTGCTTTTATGAAAAAGTTATACCTGTGTTTGTGAAGAAAAATCAGATTCTTTTTAGTCAGTAGATTCTTGAATCAAAATTTATTCAGTAGCGATTGGGAGAGAAATGTACATAAAAATAAACTTTCATTCTTTGCTTTTAAAATTACACATGATTATAGTTACACCTATTGCAGTACGTTTCGTTGCACTAGGTTTTGTAATCCGTTCGCGAAGAAATCTTTTTTCCCAAAATTATTGACGGTGATTTTTAAAAAACTGTTTGTAAAATTAAAGAAATATCAACATTTCAGAGAAAATGCGTTTTTCGAGAAAAAGTTTATTTTCCTCATAAACAAATTGCGTTGGCAGTAATTGTAATTGTACTGCAGTAACTGATAATTATGTGAGAAAACAGGTATGCAATTTTAAAAACAGTGGTCCAATTTTATTGTTGCTTGGTAAAGATGTGTCTTCATTTTTCACTTAAATTAAGACAAAACTTCTCGGCCCAACCTCGTAATAATCGAGCCGTTTAATGCAAAAACGATGTAAGCCGAGAAAGTTAATTTCTGGATAATGAGGAATAAAGAGGAAGTTCTGCGAAATATGTATCAAAAACTGTTACATCTCTGTTACATCCCTCACGTAGCTTTTGCAGAATGAAGAATGAAGATTAATCGTCGGAGATACAACGATGTTTTAAATTAAACAGTTAAATAATCAACTTACACCACTTTCCCATTAAACGATTCCATTTCCAAGCGAAATTGCTTTGCAGTACGTCGAAATCTAAGTGGTCGAAATTCGATTGATATTATTAAAAAAAAATAATAACCACGTGGGATTGAGAAACTTGTATTTTCGCGAATTTTCATCTGTACCAATCGCTTGGTAGTTAACTTCGGTGCACGTTCGTGCCAAAGAACATTTTAAACACAGAGTAAACTTCGCGTCTAAGAAATGCCGGCTCGTTAAATTAACCGCGCGAAAGGAGGCGCTGGGTGTCAAAGAAATAGATTGCACGAGAAAGAAAGAAAGAAAGAAAGAAAAGGGGGGGAAAAAAAAAAGAAAATAAATTCTGTTTGACGCAGTTGCAGAAAACTCGCCGCGCGGTTTCGTTCCTTGACACGGTTGAAATTAAATGTACGACCGCGTTTCCCGTGGCCGTTGTTCCCGAGTGGCAATCCCACGTTTGAACTTAACGAACCGTGGCACGTCCCTGATTCGCGAAACGATCCCCAGGAGCGGCCGGGAGAGGTCGTAGGACCTTATGCCGCCGAAATCCGCGCAAGAATCAGTCGTCCCCTCTGGAAAAACGATCTGCCGGGTGAGCGGTGTCCGTGCCATTCGGAGTCGGTACTCGTTGTGATTCAAATTCCGGTCTAAAAACCGTGTACTCGAGCATCCGAGCCATAATTGAATAGTCGAGAGTCGGAACTTGAACTTCAGCGTTCGGATTAGAGAGAGTTTCGTTTCATGATTATTCAGATAACCGGGCTTTTATTATTGTTTCATTATACGCTTGACTACAGATTGAAGAGAAGGGAACGAATTTAATAATACAGTCAGCCTTGATTGGTTCGATTATCTGCGGTTTCAATTAACCGAGATCTTGATTATCCGGATTTCGGCTATCCGGGCTAGGGTATCGTGCGTGATATAATTAAGTTGTTGCTTTCTGTAGTTGGTAACGACGTTATTAAATGCGTACAGTATGACCTCGTTGTGGTTCAATTATTTCTTATTGTGGCATGAGCGAAAATTGTCTGCGATTCATCACAGAGGTACATTTAGTGATTTAAAAAAATCTGCGACAATCTATAATGACTTCTCGGCAAAAAAAAAAAAAAAAAATAATATCAGATATTTGAATCAAGTGTCAGAGTATGCTGTTATCACTCGTGAAAAATACAATAAGAAAACTTCTATACTCTTGATTGTAAAAGGACTGTATCATTCATTTAGCGTTTTTTTTTTTCCTTCTTCACACTTCATTTTCGTTCTTTTCGATTTTTGTTCAGATCATATTCGTCTCTCGATACGTTCACTTCTTCTCTTTCTTCATTTTTCAAATCCTTAGAATCTTCATTCTCTTCCTTGTTCTCTGTGATACTTAATACTAAAAACTATCGACGACTAAAGTAACATTTGTAGCAAAGAAATTAAAGTGCAGGGTATAGGAAAAAATTAATAGTATACAATGAGAAACACAAGCTTCTATTAATATATTTTATTAAAAATCAAAAAATATACTATTATGAATATATAAAATTTCCATAGGAAGTTGTAAATTGATCATTTTGAAATACTTTGGTAGGTTCAGCGTTAATTTCAATTATTTCAATCTTTTGCAAAGTTTTTTAAACTTCCTCTCATTGATGTCATTTGCATTCATCGCTGCTTATAAATAATCTTGAAATCTTCTTAATGTATGAGCTACGCGTTCCAGAATCAGTCATTTTTGATTGCTTCTCTAGGGCCAGCACAATTGTATGAAGAATATACTTATTAATGTTAATGTGTATTGGACTCTTCTGGCAACTTTCACATCTTTAAGTGCAATAAATATTTATATTGTATATACTCTTTTCTATAGCAAAGAATTTGTTCGTTTATATACATAAATCAATATTTATTTCTCTGCTTCACTTATAGATTCATTGTTATTTATTTGCTCGGTGTTTTGAATCGTTTTATATCAATTATCACTCATTCGATAGCTTCAATCACTTTTCACTTTTGTACTTGTTACACGTAGCACCGGAAACCGAAACACTTTTACGTTTTACTTCCTATCTATAATCTTTGATCCCGGAGGAACTCCCGAAAGTTAGTTGAAACTCTGCGGAAAGTAGGGCCCACAGGCGAGAGCCTTGGCCGCCATCTTTATTTCTCGCGAAATACGCGAAGGATCCGCAGGTAAAAGTAGGAATATCAAGTTTTAGCATTTCTCAGGAAACGAAAATTCATAGTACACAATTTCGTCACGTTTCCTCGCAATATATCAGAATATAATACATAATATATAACTATAAACGACTGTAATATGACTATAGTATATAATATAGAAATAAACGACTATAATATATAATATATAAACAAATATAAAATTAAGAAAATTTCAATTGGTGCATAGTGCAACATGACCAACGACAAGATTTGTAGAAAAACGTTGAATTTGTTAAATTTGCCTGCATTCCCATGGATTCTCCATATGCAAATATAAGTACAGCCAAGTACTCGGATAACTCGACCGAGTGAGTCAATCCAAGTACCGAAGATCGAGTGTCCGTAGATGAGAACAATGGTAAGAGGCTCTACCAGAGACGCAAACGAAACACGATTTTCCTCTTCTGTTACTATACGCCGGGCGGAGGAGGAGAATGGGCGAAGCTGAGAGAAATTCAGGATCGTTGCGAGGGACGCGCGTCACTTTGACCGTCGCGCGTCTGCTGAGATATCTCTCCCCGTTTGCCCGGCGAAGTTTGGAATTTCAAAGCAGACGAATTTCATTCGTTCGCCTGTTGACGACGAAATCCGAATCGCGAAACGGCAGTCGATCCATATTGACATACCACTTCTCGCGAGTTTTCTCCCTCTTTAGGCCTCTCCTCCCTGTTCCGCGCGATTCAACGTCTGACAGACACTTTTATCTCCGAACGTTCCTCCCTTTTACTCTGTTTTTCATTCGCGTTTCGTTTTCGTGAGCTCAGCGACAGAGGGAACAGAGGAAATTGGCGAATTACTGTCTCAGCGGTGGTGTGTTACCCTTTCGCGAGCGTGGTTTCTTTCTCTTTTTTATCACGATTTCGGATAAAACGTAGTTGGAACGTTTTTTTTTTTTTTTTTTCTTTAATTTTCGTCGAATGTCGATATTTCAGCAGACACTTGCAATTAGGTATTTATCAATAGAATGCATTATGCATTTATAGGAGATTTTAACGTGTTTAGTGAATTGCCACACTTCATTCCACTTTGGATATCAGATTGTGCGGTTTTAGATAGGTGGGTATTTTTTTTAATTT